GAGGGAGACACAGAATCTGAAGCAGGCTCCAGGTTCCGAGCTGTCATCACAGAGCCTGATGGCCCAACATGGGGCTTGAACCCATGAACCTCAAGATCATGACCTGAGCTGAAGTGTGATGCTTAACCAACTGAGCCACCCTGGTGCCCCCTTCTAAATTTTCTGGAGTGTACATGTATTAGATACTTCCATCCCCATCCTAACCAATGGCCTATTTGAAACAGTTCAAGAAACTACAGGCAATTTAAATGAGCACAGTGTGTAACAGGATCATCTAGGGCCACTTGTAAATATCCCAGAAACCCAAGGACACTGACTGACTCTGGAAGAAAACAGCTACAGAATTCTCTAGGGAATATCTACTACTAAAGATTATAAGAGATTTGCTGAGCAATCTATTTTTACAGATACTTTATTCTTCAAGGAGAATAAGAACACTCTTTCTTGTTATTTGCAGATTTTGTTTTTTTGTTTGGAAAGAGCAAGAGCGGGGGAGAGAGAAAAGGGGGGAGGGAGGGAGAGAGAGAATGAGAATCTTAAGTAGGCTCCAGGCTCAGTATGGAGCCTGACACGGGGCTTGATCCCACAACCCTGGGATCATGACCTGAACTGAAATCAAGAGTTGGACACTTAACTGACTGAGCCAACCAGGGGTCTTGATCTTATTGTATTTTTTCTAATCACATATTTTACTTTTGCAAGTTTTATGCATATCATTTTCCCTAAATTAAAAAGTCTAAATAATGAAGAAAATCAACTTTAAAATTGTACTTAAGGGGCTTTAGGGTGTAAAGGCCATGTATTTACATGTTGAACCTTAAATTACTAAATTTTCCAAAGCAAAAGAGAGATAAATCAACAAGTGTTTATCCAGCACTCTATGAACAACTAGAAATGTGAATCAAAGTGGTAAAAGCATTTAAAAATTAACTATGAATTTAAATATGTAAAATACTATTATATAGACAGCATAGCTAAAATACTTGAATGAATACCTTTTCTCTTTCAATTTTAAGTCTCTCTTTTTCTTCTTTCTTCTTCAGTCTCTCTTCTTCAACAATTTTCTTCAATTCTTCCTTCTTTTTCTCTTTATCTTCCTTTTCTTTTTTCTTTGCTTCTAGGGCATCTGCTTTTTCTCTTTTTAATTTAGCCTTTTCAAAAGCTGTAGAGAAGGTCAAACTTAGAACTGTTCACAGACAGAAAACAACACATTTTTTAATGTAACAAAAGAATTCCTGAAATAATTTATGGTTAAATGGGATCAGTAGACTCAGGTGTTGTAAACTGCTGGAGGAAGCCAGCAGGTGATTCAAATGGGAAAGCAAGTTGGCTGCATTTAAGACAAACTACTGACCAGGGACAAACATACCTGCTATTTCAAAGCTCTGCTTTGAAGCCCTGGTCCTAAGACCAGGAGCAAAGTATCACCTTTTTAGAAAAGCAGAATCTCTTCTCCCACCCAGACCTACTAATTCAGAATCTTCATTTTAATAAGATTCCCAAGTGATTCATATGTACAGTCACGTCTGGAAAGCACTGTTTTATAAAGCAAAAAAATGGCCCCAAACAGTCTGTAAGCCATGGAAACTCCAATTTGTGCTTAATCTAAGCATTAGCTTGGTTTAACAGGGGATATGCTCTCCCTTGAAATATTGTTTTAAGAGATGAACACAGGATTTTATTCATCATAAAAATTTATAGATACCTAAGGGGCAAGAAATATTTATGCTTACAAGGAAAAAAAGAAAAAACCCAAATAACAGAAATATGCCATTTCAGAAAGCAAGAGAAATATTCTTTCCTGTACCTAAACAGTTTTTGAAGAGAATGTTAAAACTCACCCAGTGACTTCATTTCTTCTTGCTTCAAAAGTTTGTCTCTTTCTTTAGTAGCTTTGTTCTTATAACCTGCAATTGTTTGTTTATTAACAACACTGTCTTCCTAAAAAAACAAACAGAGAAACTAGTTATAGAACACCACAACTTTTCAGACAGATGGTCTGCCTTGTTCTTACAATAATAATAAAGTTTTAAACACTCTCATCAATTATACTTTCCTTATACTACAATGAGGTTTTATTCTAAGCCTAACAAAACTTTAGTAACTTTAATCATAGTAACATACAGAATATGAGGTTAGCTCTATAGTTCTACAAATTAGTACAAAAACCTCCCAGGAAAAACAACTGGTAATCTACAAGGACAGCCTTAAATATATGCATTAGAAAAAACAAAAATTTTTCTAAGGTACCTTATAAACTAAATGGCGTAGACATCAAATATGAAAGAAGTGCATGTCAAAAATATTCTTGTGGTAAATGTTAATAATGTCAAAAGGTTTTATTTTATTTTTATTAAAAAATTTTTTTTTAACATTTATTTACTATTGAGAGACAGACACAGAGCGTGAGCAGGGGAAGGGTAGAGAGAGGGGGAGACACATAATCTGAAGTAGGCTTCAGGCTCTGAGCTGTCAGCACAGAGCCAACGCGGAGCTTGAACTCAAAAACTGCGAGATCATGACCTGAGCCAAAGTCGGTCACGCAACCAACTGAGCTACCCAGGCGCCCCAAAAGGATTTATTTTTATGGTACTTCTTGTAAGCATAATGGTGTGTAACCTGTTTAGTGTGATATTTTTATTATTTCATATTTTTTAAACGTTCTTCATGTTTTGATTCCATGATTTATTCCCTGTATTTCAGTAACTGCTTATATGCTTGCTTCCACTTTGGTATAAAATCCCTGTGGCATTAAAGCTATGTCTAATTCACACTTGAGACTTCTACAGGCCTCACTGCTAAGTAGTTTTCAATGCACAGTACATACACTGTATATGAAGGAATGTGTTCCTTCCTAAAGCTATGTGGGTGAGGGGAGCCAAACACTGCTCTTGATTATGAATAGTTTTATTAAGAGCTACAATGTAGTTTTTATCCATTCTCTACTTACCTGGCTAATAGATACTCGTTTGGGAGGTCTCCCTCTTCTTCTGTTAGCAGGACTGAAGATAAATGTGGGTGGATCATCAGGAAAGAAATAAGAAAAATCTTGTTCTGCTATTTTATATGTTGAAAGAGATGACGCCTTCATAAAAAAAATATAGGGTACAATAATAACACAATTAGGAAACCATTTATAGATGTACTCTAAAATGTCATGTATGACTGCTGTTAAAGACCAGGTTGAAAAGATTTCGACATAGAATTTCATGTGTTAATATACAGTATCACACATTTTAGCTGATTTACTTGATCTATTATTAATTAGCTTTACCAGAAGGAAAACCACAATGCAAAGAATTTTTTCACATAAAATACACAAGAATGTTTCAACAGTTTCTTAAATTCTAAAACCATTATAAAATTACATTTATATAATAATCTTTTGCAGTTTGCTTTGTTTTGACTAATTTTGTATGGAATTTTCTATGTAAATAAATAATCCAATGACTTAACATTTAAAGTCCACTGTGCTTGGGCGGGCTCAGTCAGTGAAGGAGGTGACTCTTGATCTCAGAGTTGTAAGTTTGAGCCCCACTTTGGATGTTAGAGATTACGTAAAAATAAAATCTTTAAAAAAACCCACTGTATCAACCCAATACATTTTTTCTCAACCATTTCTTAACTGCTGTACATTTCAG